TCAACATAAATACATGAAGGCACGTAATTAATGACTTTCTGCATGACATCCATATATGTTATCACTAAGTCCCGAGATGAAATTTGTTTCTGATAATATTTGTACCTGGATTGGCGGTCTTCTTCATGCTTCCGGTGAGTTAACTTCTCGTAGTCGTCTGAGGAAAAAGCAGCGTCTTTGTCTCCAGAGGAAAACTTTGGACTGTCCCTTTCCTCCGGTTCCTTCAACCCAAAAGCCAGGAGGACTTCACTGTTATACTTCTCTGTTCTGGCTCAGCTGATCCGAGTGCGTAATGACGTCCTTCCACTGCAGGCAAACGCAGATGTAAATATGACGCGTACTTCAGAGTGAAGCTGACCGTTTTGGGGCCGCGATGAAAGGAAATCAGAGCGCATGACGGGGAGGAGAGGGAGAGAGGGGGGGCAGAGCGCAGCTGACGCGCTTTTACGCACGGATCGCAGTCGGACACAGCTCTGGTGCGGAGCTGCTTCCATGGTCACCCCTGTACATACATGCTGAATTATAAGCCTGCCATAGTGTGTGTCACATTTATTGACAAGTTTGGTAAAATACATTCATCTCTCATTACGGCTGAACTCTGAACATTGTAGAAAAGTCTAACTTTTCAAAAAATATATATCAATTTTTGTGGTGGAATATATCTTCTCTTTGGCAATAACGTGTTGTATTAGAATAACTGACTCTCCAGATATTCTACCACTTTTAATGCTTTGAACACCAACATTTTCCCTACTAGACAGTTCAGAAGATACACAGAGAGAATGATCTTTGATTATTCCTTTTTATTGTCTTCTCTTTTGCAGTCTTTATTGACATAGGACTATGTACACTAATCTCACAAAAGGTAGCGTCGACATCTGCACCAGATTTAGCAATTGGTACATTTCCATTTTCAATCATTAAGGCAAACACAACAAAAAATAATGTATACGGCATACATATAATATAAAATCATAAAAATCACAAACTCGTAACTCACACATTGCAAAAATATATGCATTTTGTTTTATTTTTCATAGATATTGTGATTTTTTAATGCAGAACATGAAGTACAGTCGAGAGTTGCTTACATTGGTCAATCAAACTTCATAAACAGAAAAGGTATGGGGCTTTACAATAGCTTTAAACCTAACTGGAGAGTTTTTCCTTCCTTACTGGTCCTGAAAGAGCTCGTCCCATGGTGTTCCTACATGATTTAGATCTATGGGCTGAGATGGCCACGGAAGAGGATTACTTTTATGCCTAATTAATCATTTCTGTGCTGATTTGGTTTGACAATCTGGATTTAAAAAAAAAAAAATAACAAAAAAATATTTCCAGGTTTTAGAGAAACATTCTGTAATTTATTCTAAAACCTGGTATTTCAAATAGTTCATGATGCTATGTAATCTGACAAAGTGTGCAGAACAAACAGGCCCACAGCACCACACATCCTCCATTATTCCCAACAGGCATGAGGGGCTTTTCCACATATTTTGCCAAATTTCAAACCAGACTTACTTGGAGTGTTTTACTGTAAAGCTTAATCTGTGTCCCATGACATGATAGCACATGGTTCCAGTTGTTCCTGGTTGGGTTGAGAAAACTTCCCACTTACACTTTTAATTTGGGTACATTTTTACATTTCCTAAGGAAGGTGGAATCTACTGCTAAATCAAAATTAAGATGGTTAGTTTAAAGAATGTGTTGGTTTTGTTTGTTTGTTTGTTTTAAACATATATTTCTTCTCTCCCTTACTGAATCCTCCTAGGGCAGATTATTTACAATTTCCAGTGAGTTTATGCTGCTGAATTAAAGATGGATTCATTTTAAGACATTTTTCACATTTTTGCCATGTGGGATCCACAATTTTCAAAGTGAAATCTCACATTTATAGACATGTCGATTGTGCAGCGCGTTCCACAGTGTCTGATTTTATGAATGAATGTGTTGCTGTGAAATAACTGTGAAATGCTGCCCTCTTCTGGTTGAAATTGAAATTTGTTTAAACTGTATTTTGACGGACTCTTTTTTACTACTCTTGTTTTCAAAAAATTTTGAATCACACAGTATATATGGTTCTTCTTTACAAGAGCTGTTAAGGTGATGTCCTTCATAAAAACATTGTTTTATTCAAAACTTTTATTTAATGCAACATAGAAATTATATAAATAAAACAAACACCATCTTCTCAAGCTCTGAACGCTTCAATCCCCTCTCCTTGTTTAAGCTGTGAACAGAGACGAAGATAAGATCAACAAAATGATGTTAGCAGGTCATTTTGTGGCGAGGTAAAAACATTGTGCAAAGGAAAATGTAGTGATTTTATCTGGTTCATTTTCCTAGTTACCTCAACTGGGTGCAAATTGAAATCATTATAGACTGAGGCAGTAAAGTTAGTCAATCTCAAAACGTTTGGCCACGACTGTCGAAAAGCTTCGACAGTCATGATGGCTGTAGCCTAAATGAAACTTTATCCAGTTCTTGCTTCAGGTCAGTGACTTGCAGTCAGGGAGCGCAGGTGAGGCAGTGTCTCTTCTGTTATCATGGTGAGTAAAACACTGTAAAGAGAAAACCAATTTGTCCACTTGACTGTCCTGTAAATTTGTTACCTCTATGATTGTCAAATTCAACGAATTTCCACTTTGTGCCCCACAGTTACGACAGAAATAGGTCAAGAGCCGCAACAGTGGCTGTACAGCTTCAAGTTTTCTCACGGTGGCTGTTCCTTCAATACTTTAGTGGGCTGATTAGATAACCTAGCAGCACATAAAAGGCTGTGTTCATTTCATAGATGGTTGTAATCGTTGAGGTGTCGGACAATCAATTATATTCATGAAGCGCTTCAACACCAGCCTGATAAGGACCAGACAAAAGACAAAAGTCAGCTAAATTAAATTGACATAACCAAACACACAACAATGTAAATTGAATAAAAAAACTCAAATTAAAACAGATAAAATCAATACCAGCAAAAGTTGAGTAAAATCAAGTGTCGGTTGGGTTGAAAACCAGTGAGTAAAAATATATTTTTAGATGTTTTTTTTTTTTTTAAATGAATAGTGAATGAGGACTATTGGATGTCTCAAGGCTTTGATTTTGTCGACTCTTTTCTGTCACATGAAATCAGTCGATCTGTCAGGCTGAAAGGTTAAAGCATCTTGCAGAAGTGGTAAAACGACAGGATGCAGCTTTCTGCTGGCATGGATCTGCTTTAGACTACAACCTTGACATTTTGTGGCAGAGGATGCTGATGACTTTACTGTACATCAAAAAGAAAGGAAACCTACTTCTCAACGAGAAGCTCAATCATTTAGTGACATTTTATGTAGAGCACTTAACCCAACCTTTGGCCACAAGGCATATAGCCTCACAAAAGCAGTAACTTCACAACAAGAGTGGTGTAAACATGCTCACAAACAAGTGCTTTCATAACCTTGACTGGTGCAGGTAAGTATGAGCGAACGCAGAAAGACGTAAATTTGTTTTATTACTTTAAATATGTGAAATTAATTTGTTGTTCAAAGCTTAAAGTAATCCATGCATAGAAAGAGACCAAAACAAATGAGTTCAGAAATTAAGTTATGTGTAATATTGTAAAATAACAAATCAAAAATGTTGAAAGGGAGGTGAGGGAAGCCAATATTCAGCTGAAATCCATCACATAATTTGGGAAAATATATGATTTTGAAGCACAAAATGAAAACGGCAAATTCAACTAAAATGAATCTGAAATAATCTAGCATCAATCTTTTTTTTTTTTACTTAATCCTGGTAAAGGTTATGCGGTGAAGGTCTTCAGTAGCCTGTTTCCACCACTTAATGGGCTTGAATTTGGGCACATCCTGTACAGGTCATCAGTCCATCACATGTCCTACATGCAAACATTCGCATACATCCACAACGGGTAGCGTACAACGAGTTCCCCCCCATCAAAAGCTACCAAAATAAAGTCATAAACATCTCAACTAGTAAATCTTTTAACCTTTAGCTGATTTGTTTTGGGTGTATGCAAACAGTGAGGAACACAGTTTACTTAGACAAACTCAATTATCTCAGCGTCACTGCAAACAGATGCTCTGAAATAACCAGCTTCATTTTAACTCTTCAAAAATTACAACCATGTAAAAATTCTGTGTATATCAAACATAACTGAAAAGAAATCTGACACTTTAAAAATCGCCTCCGTCTCTTTAAGAAGCTCCTGCTCTGACACTCTGCTTTCAGCATGTGGTCACAACTTAACAGTGTTGGACTGAGGAGAGGTTTGTATGATGAGCTCAGCAGACTCTCAGCAGTTAGGCATTTGCTAATTGCTGCTGCCGCTAGTTTGGAGGAGCAGAGTGGGGGATGCCAGGAGAAGAGTTGCTCTGTGAAGTGGAAGGTCGGCTGGAGACTGCAGCTCCAAGGTGGAGGTTTCTGTAACTAGACGGCACTTTGTGTGAGCAAGTGCTTTAGGCACTCCCAAATGGTTGCCATGGGAGATTCTAGGATTTCTCACACACACATGAAAGAATGAAAGCAACAATGCAGGTATGCTTTTGATGAGGGAAAAGCATCATAATGTGATATAAAGCTGCCCCCTGCTGCATAAAGCTCTTGTGACTGGTTGTTGTTCTCCATGTGGGTTATCTCCCAGCCTCTGATGAAAGCAGTTCTTTATTCTGGCCCAGAAAACAGCAGACAGTGTCAGGGCAGCATCATTTCTCTGTGCCACAGTCTTTACTTACTATAACACTGGAACCGTTTTGGTGTAAAAACACTGTTAGAGTTTCCAATTTATCTAACCCGCCTATTTCTGGACTGTGAGAGAAAAGCAGAGCACAGAGGGAGAACACTCATGCATGCAGATTGTATGAAAACTCTGAACAGAAAGACCCTGAATGGCACTCGACCCATTCAAAGTTCACAAAAAACGACAAAGGATGGCACCACAAACCTCAAGACGGTAACTCTCGCAGATCAGTGGTTTGGTGAAAGTAAAGAGCTGAAAAAGAAGGCTCTTTTAATAAAATGTTTAATTTTTTTTAAGTTATTGCATTTCAGTCCTCCAGGGATTCCAACACACCAAATAACAGGAAATAGTCAAAGCAATCATACAATGTAAGGTGGCCTCTAAGGCAAAACATTTACAAATGAGCAAAAAGAAAACATTTTGTTTCATGAAAATTAAATGTTAGAAAACAGAAATAAAAAGTTGCGTGTGTTGCATACAAAGAGAGTGAAGTTGCTCCATTGCATGGTTCAGTGCCACCAAATGGTCTCTTCTGGTGAGAAAAGCATGTCTTTAAGATGACAGCAGTTTACAGATGCTTGTGGTTTCCTTCTGTTCACATCTGATAAACTCATCACCAAACCCAGTCCGGACCTTTAAATACCACAGATTCTGAGAAAAATCTTATTTAGTCATTTACTTGTTGTACCGATTTTCAAACAAAATTTTGGTTTAAAGCCAAAAACGGCTACATGACAATAATAATTTTCTACATATCTGACATTTTAACAACAGACTTGTAAACCACTGTTATATCTAGCAGTTAGATCTGCTGCGTCAATATGTGGGACACAACAGCATCTGGTCTCATTGTGTCTGACTCTTGTTCTCTCTTACTTGCACTGTAGATCACATAGATTTGACGCTTAGTTTTGAAAAAAAAAAACATTTAAAATTTCTTTTGAGTATTAACAGATGCGAACTGAAGGAAATACAGAAAAAAAATGTTCATCAAGTAGGCCCTGTGTGGGATTTTTAAATTGATTTTTTTTTTCTGCTTTATTTTTTAGAAAACCTCAAAAGTTTACAAGTTAATTAAACGGTAAAAAACAAGACAGAGTATAGTTCAGTTGTACTGTAATATTAAAACGTTAAAAGAAAACAAAGCTTAAAAAAAAAAAGAAGTAAATCTTGCCCAGCACAATAAAAACCTACTGGCTGAATTTCTAAGCAGTTTGGCCTCGTCCGTTCCTGCTCATGATTTCATACACATTATCGGTGGAGAATTTCTGTTCGCCTCCCGCTCTTCTCCTGATGCACCACAGCTTCACCTGTAAGCAAACAATTCACAGAGGAAACCTTTATTATTCTATCATCGTTGTGGATGAAAAAAATAATAATTCAAAGAGTTATGAAAATGCAACTTAATTGAGCGACAAATTTTGAATAAATGGGAATAGAAATGTTCGAGGTACAAAAAAAAAGTATTGATACCGTTTAACTTGTCCTCCTTTAGGAAGCAATGGGCTTTGTAGACTTTATGTAATAAACTAACACAAAGTAGTATTTAGCTCTGAACTAAAGGGAAAATGATACGTATTTTTCACAATGCATGGAATAAAACAGCATTTCTCCTCCCGGAGCTGCTGCCTAGAGGATGGATGGGACCGAACAGGATTAAGTACGCAAAGGGAATATTTATACAGGTGGAGCAGATAGCCTGAACGCAGAGGGCTGCTGTAGCTGAAGCTCAGTGTAGCTTCATGGATGAACCAGACAATAAATTTACCACCATCCCGGTAGCAACAAATGGGTGGCGGAGCGCATCATGGGGGTACAAAGCTGGCAGATGTTTAGTTGTGTGTGACGAAAGAGCCAAATCATGTTGCCAACATGGACACAAAAGTTATATAGTTGGGCAAAGTGAGAGTTAATCTATTAAACTGACTGACGACAAATACATAAACTAAAGAATGGTGCTTAGACATTTTTTTAGAAGTGTCTTTGTGAACCTGCTGCTTTATTATTAAATTGAATATAATTTCAGATTTTTGTATAAAATGAGCCAATACCGTTGCAGGGTCACTTCTAAACTACAGAAAAGTCATTGCAGGGATACACAAATACGAAAATTTGGGCCGATGTTGATATCTGATATTAATACTGCCGTTATGGCAGCATTTACAATGCTTTACTTTATCTCCTTTTTAATTAAATTACTTAACTGTCAGAATAATCAATAGATTACTCGATTCTAAAGTAACAGTCCTTTTGTCCAGATTTTTTTTTTCTTTTTTAATTAAAAGAAAATTGAAAAACGTCTGTTTTTGTTTCCCCACTTCACAACTATACGCAGTAATGTTTTATCTATCACATGTTTGTTGGGGTTGTATGACAAAATGTGAAAAAGTCAAGGGGCTAAAACACTTTCGCAAGCGGATACATGTTAGTGGTACTTTTGTTGAGGGGGCTGTTTGATACGCAACGTTACGTGTAACAGAAAGCAGCACATGCAAGACGGACAGCAATGGAAAAAAAAATAAATAAATGTAGCCGGAGTAAAGTCAGAGGAAGCCGCAGGCGCATTTTCAATGTAAACAGAACTGTGGTGGTTTAGATGTTATCTGTATTTGAGTTTGGGGGTGCTTGTCATGTTCCCAGCAGTTAGATGGTTTCAGATAACGCAGTTTCAGAAATGGGTTAAAGTGATCATATCCGCTGATAGACATTTCGAATCAGTGTTGCATTCTAAAGGTTGCAGAGCCACAAAGTGTTGAGCAAAGAAGCAAATTTACCCTTGGAGTGATCAGCAAGAAGAAGATCCACATGGCCAGCACACTGATGACACAGATTAAAATTATAAACAGCATCAGTGCTGTCCTTGTGTCAACGAAGGTGGAACATTTGGTGGGAGGCATCGTGGGACATGACATTGTTTCTGTGTGAAACAGAGGCAGAAATTAGCAACAAAAACCATTAAATTCTCTTGAATATTTGATTTCACGAGCTGATACTGCACTACAACTCCAGATAGAACTGGAAATGAATGTAAATCTTCTTTTGTGTTTTTACTGCATTTCTAATTTAGATGAGTAAGCAACAAGTGTTTTTTTTTTAAATAATGTTTATACACACACATATATATAAAGTGATTTAAACAACCTGCAGATAATATTTTTCCTTCCATTTGTCCTCGTCTTCGTTGGAAATTTGTATATACAATTGTTATAGTTTTATTTTTTTCTTTTGGATCAAGGTTAGAAAACATAAAACAAGACAAAATTCCCCCACTATTAACCTACTGAGACAATACCTGTTTCCTCAAAGCCAAAATAAAGATTAAAAACCATTTCAAAGGTGTAAATCATAACAATGTTTGTTAATGTTTGTGGGCTGATGGATGGGAAGAGTGAACTGAAACTGTACTCGTTAGCATAAAATGAACTCATTTTGTTTCACATTTAGACCAAAGCCGGGTGGTCTAAATCCTTCTGTGTCTAGTCTAAATGTGACATAAACTCTGTGTTTGCTGCATACAAAATCATTTTAAACGTATGTTTACTCTGGTCCATAAAAGTATAAGCAGAGTTATAGAAAATTCACTCCACAGCTGTACACAACTCTGGAATGACACTCTGTACATAAAACCTAAATAGAATAGAGAAAATAAACAAACCTGTTATGAAAACTCCGTAGATGCTGCAAATGACAAAGACTTTATCTGATTTTTTGTAGACACATGTGTAGACACCCTGGTCATCCACGGTCAGGTTGCTGATAGTAAAGGTCATGTTAGGTCTGTGTGTCTGGATCCTGTGTTCATACTTTACTCTTGGCATAGCCACACTCGGAGTTGTGAAAGAAAAGAACAAGACCTCATCCTTCTCATGGTACAGATACAGATAATTGTATCCGTCGATTTTTTCTGGACATCCATCGGAGGAGCATGTCAAACTGATGCTTCCACCAGGCTCTTGGGAAATGAGAGTGCTCTCTACCATGAAACAGAAAAATTGTCTCATTAGATGGTCAGAAATATACAGACATAATGACTGACACTGAAAGCTGCTGAAACACACTTGAACATAAAAGCTGAACCTACCTGAATAAGCAGAAAGCCAGACCAACAGCACAGCGTAAGCCAGTAGTGCCATTGTGGACCAGCGCTTGCTTTTACTGCAACTCTTTCGCAAGCTGTTGTATATAAACCGATGTACTGCGGTGCGTCGCAGCAAACACTTCCCCTACAGTTTGATGTGGGCAGAGGCTGTGCATCCTGTCACTGAAAATATTTTGCATTCCGACATCATCAGATAAAGTCTTTTACTAGAAGGGACTTTGTGTCACAAAGGATCAACAAGGCGTATAAGGTCATACAAACACTTGGAACAAGCATATTCCGTTCTAAGATAATCATTACTGGGACCTTCGGAAATCCATTGAGCAATTTTAAAAATTAAAATAATGTCGAAATGCTTTAAATGTAGATTTGGTATGCATTTAGTTTAAAAGTCAAGACTAAATTTAGACCTGTTTTTTACCTAGATTTATTACCTCAAAAAAAATAAAGCATGTTAAAAAAGCAGCCTTGATGTAAGGAATACAGAATGAATAATGTAGTGTTTCCCTAACCGAGTCCCATCTCATGTTCTCTTCATCTCACGTTTTCTAGGATTCGGGTTTCTGGGTTGAGATGATCATCGGTGAAGGTTGATTTTGTGTTCAGTGAACCGTTTCCATGTTGACTTGATATGTTTTGGATCAATATCCTATTGAAAGAAGACCAGTTTATCGGTCCACCAGATCTGATTAAAAATGCGTTTGGTTTGAACAAATTAATAATCATGTGTACAGTGTGCATCCAATTACATGGGGACTTTGTTAGTGTATATCAACAAGGTTTCCAGCATCTCTGAAGGGCCTGGAGCATTAGGTCTTCCATCATACTTGACGGCTCTCAAACAACTGGTTAGTTGTTTTTCATCGTTTCACCTTCATGCTCACTGTGGATGTTGGCTCGATAAACACGGGTCCTCATGCAGCTGGTGATCAATGGCTAAAAGAAATGGGCTTTGTGCATCATATTTGTACCTGGAAAAACAGGAGGTCAAAGCGGATAAAATCCAAATACTCTCAATGGTTTGCATATCAATTTGTTCACATTTAATCCAAGCTGCTGTTTAATCTCTCATGGGAGTAACAAGTCCAAAACCTCACCACTTTAAAGCAGCCATTTCTTCTTCTTCTTTCCAAAAATAATGACTTTTCTACCACACCATCCACATCGTCTGCATCGTTAATTTGGTGCAATTTCTTTCTTCTATTTACTGCCATCTGGTGGGATTTTTAGTAATGGCAATTTTTTAAAACAATTTTACAGCACTTTCAGAGAAATACCAAACACTCAGTACCATCTTTAGAAAAACAGAGAAATTGATTTGAGAGGTTTCTACACATCAGGTGCTGAAAACCTAAAACTCCCCTTTTCACCTGACCAGTTTGTTTTTACTTTAATTGAATAAACTAGCTAATAGTGAGCCACACATGTGCTCAATGATCGAGAGTTATTAATCACAAAGAAGAGAAAGAAAACTTAAGACATTTTAAACAACAAAATTCAGTGAGTTTCATCAAAACCAAATTGGATGTTACGTTTTTGAACTCTGAAAGTAGGTGCCACGCAAACTACGGTGTCATCGCCATAAAAAGGAATGTTTATATTAATAAATAAAACAATAAAAAATATATATCTGTAATGCCTGTAGGCTAAGGAGGACCTAAGTGCAGAGAGGTTGTGGATTATATAGACATTTAATGACAAATTGAAGCAAAGGAAACGTGCATGCATCCTTCTGCAGGGGCGCCTGCAGAATATTTTTGGAGGCTTCACATAAAACTCACTGCATGAGCACAACCACATGTCCAACATGCATCGTGTGTGTGTGTGTGTGTGTGTGTGTGGCACAAAACCAGCACAAACCTCACCCACACAAATAAAAATACATGAGACACCATGGAAGGCCTATTGCCCATAACATAACACACTCACACACACTTGCATAGCCTACTTTAAAAAAAAAAAAGTATACTAACTCATAAAGACAGGGAATTAAAGCCTACCCACGTGATAAACAGGAAGTGGAGGTTAGAGATTCCCAGAGGAGTATGAGGCGAAGTAACATTTGCTTAATTTCTACTCTTTTTGGCAAAGTTTTGACTAGCTTTAACAGTTTAACCCTGCAGCAGTTTTAGCTCGACGCTTAGGAAGAGCGTGGCTGATGTCATGGTCGGTCAACCGGGTGACCCGTCAGCTCTTCAGTTCCCGAAACAAAAAGAAAAGTAAACTGACCAATAACATTTAGGTTAAGGACATGCATGTGCGCACTCCCACAGATGCATAAAGATGTGGGCTATATACAGGATGTTTGACAAAAAAAAAGCAAACATTTTTTCTCACCACATTTTCTTTGACGTAACAAAAATACATCGTCTGGTTTAGCTATAGAGCCGTGAGTCCCATAGAGACAGGCAGAAAACTGGACCAATCTCAGGTCAGCCATTTTAGGATGTAAAAATAGAACATACAATCACAGGCTAACATTGGAGAATCCCTTGAAATATTTAGAAGGACAGACAAATATTTCTACTTCTCTCTAAAGCAGGGGTGTCCAAAGTCGGTCCTCGAGGGCCAGCATCCTGCATGTTCTAGTTCTCT